CAAGGACAATCAATGGCAGTGACAATGCGATGGAGACGGGAAGTCGGGTGCGTATCAAGCGGGACGGTCAAATGCCCGTTAGTAAGCTCCCGCCCGTCCCTACCCACCTGCTTGGTGACGGAGTAGGAAACCTAGGTAGTGCCTTCTGCCACCCCCACCTGGAAACTCACGATGATTGCGCGAGGAAGGCACGTTCCATAGTAAGCCGAGCGGTGGTCAGCCCTCAACGAATGGCAGCACGGGCAGGTGGATGAAGATGGTAGGTGCACCTGCCCAACCGTCTCTGGACCAACACCAACAATGACATCATCCTGCCTGCCGTCTCAGCGGTTCAGGAAGTTTGCGCCTCACCAGACAGCTTCCCCATCCGTGTGTCAATTTCCAACTCGATGAGGAAGCAACGCTGCACAGAGGAGGATTCTTGGGCTGAGTTGTTTCGGCTCGTACAAGAGCTCTTGTCTTCCATTGTCTTGAACGCATTGCGGGCTTGGTGTCGCCGCCATACAGTACGGACACGGCGAACACTCCGGCCAGGGCAGTAGACAGGGCAGGCGAGGCAGGCAGGGCTCAAAACACATCCATGCCCCATGCCCGCCCGTGTCGTTCCTGCCTGTGCCTGCGTCGACTGCCTGCTGCTTGCTGCCAGACTGGGGGGTTTGCGGCCGAAAAGGGAACAGTGCCGGACTGGCACGCACAGTACATGCAGACAGCCAGCAACTTGGAAGCGACGAGAGACACGCAACGCCACAATTTCCGTCCCCAGCTCGATGACGATGGAAACAGCATCTTCTCACACTTCACCCTGCCAACTTGGGTCCTGCTCTGGCTAGAGGGACGCAGCCGAGATCGAGCAAGACAGACGCCAACTGTAAAATGAGAATAACGTCAAACGGTTCGGGGTCCTGGGGGTAGTTGATTCAGGATGACGATCCGGGGGCAGGCCAACGCCAGGAGCCAATGTCTGCCGGTGACCGCAGACGCGTTCCTCTGCTATATGCCGGGTGGCTTTCCTCTGGCTGCGGGCATAGTTCACCACTGGCATCTCAGAGGCCTCATTCCCATGCTTCCGCCTTACCCCGGATCGCCTGGCATCGCATGTGGCCGGCACAAGAAGAGGCGAGGCACGCATCAGGCCTCAGACGCGGTCAGCAGTCGTCTCCCCCTTCGTCCCGTCCCGTTCCTCGACTCTGTCGATGTTGTAACGAGACCTCATACTGGTTCAGACCGGAGTCGGGATGAATATTATGATAGTGATGTGTTGATATTGCAACTGCATAGCTTACCATGATAGTCAGTGCAGCTGCTGGCAACTCGCAACTCTCAACGTTGCATCGCCATGGTTGCGTGTAAGTCGGCATGCCTCAGGTATTTACAGAGTCAGGCGAAGAAGCCTACGGAGTTGTACTGACTACTACTACATGCATCCCCTTTATTGCTAGGTCGCAACTAGAGCTACAGAGTATCCGTACAGCTACAGACATCGAGGCTTAGGTGAGGAGGAGGCGGAGGAGTGCAGCGCAGCGGGTTGCGAATGCCAGTGCCTGCAGCGTTGTACGAATTCGCTCTCTCGCCCTCTCGTTCGGGCTGGTGGTGCTCACTGATGAGGGAATGATGGGACCATTATTTTAAATCAGCACCAACGCTAAGCCGGCTCAACCCCCTGTCCCTGCTCCTGCCCGTCTTCTCACCTTCGAGCCACTCGGTACGTACCCTCTATCATCCCTGCTAGCGTTTCTTAGCCGCCCTACCTCTTTTGCGAAGGTGGGGTCTGGCTGTACCGTCCCATCAAAGATCTTTTACTGTCCGTCGCAACCCCCGGTCGCTGTTTCCTGTACTGTGCACCGTGAGCGTATGGCCGGTGTGTGGTTGGTGGTGGTGTTTGGTTTGACTTGAGGTGTGCTACCGGGCGGGCAATGGATTCTTTTCTTCCTATCCTTGCCCGGGCTGCTTGTAGCCTCCGACTGGACCTGATCCTGACCGAGAAGCGGCGGGAGCTCTCTCAGCACAGAACACCACCGCACCGCAGGGAAGGAAAACCAAGAAGCAAGGCAGGGACGCAGAACGAGCAAGCGGCAGCATGGCACAACACAACACGGTCTGCCTGCTTACCTGCTACAACAAGATGAACTCGTCCTTGATTTCTGTGCATAGCTCCAGGCTGACCTCGCCATTGGATGTTTCAACGTGCTGGCCAGCTTTCTTTCCACCTCTCTGCTCTCGGCATCGTGGCATGGGGGTACGCGGTTTAGCCAGACCCGGTCATCGCTGATCTAGTTTGACTCTACCAGAAACCTCAACGTCCTCCGCACCCAGGACGTTGCTTTTCGATCTGGGAGGGGGCCACCACTGGCAATGGGACAGGGGGGCAGCACGCAACGGCAGCGGGAGCTTCGCAGCCGGGAACATCATCGCGGACTAACACCAGCAAGGCTATCTATCGCCAGAGCCGGACAATGGCTGCAACAGCTGCAACAGATATGTGTGTGTCTGTCTCTCCCTGCCCCGACTGTCGTACCCGTCGGTCGGCGTCTTGCTCTCTCAACACCAAGGATGCTGGGCTTGTTGGATTGTTACATGCCTCGATATCTGTGCCCGCACCCAGAGAAACGGCGCAGAAGCTGTGAGACCGGCCTTCGGGCCCTGATTGTAAAGCATTGGGGGGATTCAGGTGTGACTGCATCCAGCCGCCGGTGGTCTCTACTCGCTCTCTCTTTCTCTCGCCTTTTTTCCCGCGTTTTGCACCACGATCACGCCAACGGCATTCCCCTCTTGGGTGCGAACATCATCTCCACCGGCGTCGATACCTGGCCTGGCAGAAGCATACTCGTGGTCGAGCATCTGTCTGTCTGTGTATGTGTCTTGCCGGTGCGTGTGCAAGTGGAGGGGCCGGGGTGTACCTTTCACCTTTACCGGAGAAGACCTTCACCAACAACCTAACCTAGGTACCTACACCAAGGTGGAAGACCAACACCACCACCACCGCACTTACCATGGCTCCTCTCACCTCCACTTCCTCTTGCAGCAGAGAGACGCGGCGGTAACGAAGCCATCAAAGCTACCAGCAACGCCAGCGGCAGCGGCAGTGGCAGCATTCAATGGCGATTCCGTGCCAGTGGCAGCCCATCAGTCAGTCCTCAACGCAACCAGCAGCGACCAGCCCGCCCGGCTTGCCGTCTCCGTGCCACTATCCCACGCTGAGGTGCTGAGGTGCAGCGGCGTGGTGCGTCGCCTCGCCTGCCCCACCCCTCCCTCCTTGTGTCTTTTTTTTTTTTTTTTTTTTTTTTTTTTTTNCCCCCCCCCCCCCCCCCCCCCCCCCCCCTTTTTTTTTTTTTTTTTTTTTTTTTTTTTTTTCCTGCTCCTTCTCACCTTCCCCAGCAAAAAAAGCGCAGAGCCAGAGCAGCAGCGAGCGACACTGTGGTGGTCGTGGTGGAGGTACGAATAGTGTGGTGGTGCCTGCGGTACGTACTCTTTTCGCCTCGACTCTTCTTCTCCCCAGTGTCCACGCCCTGCCACACGCACCCCTACGTCCACGCCATCAACCCCCGGCCCTTCCTAGCGACCTTGCACACATCCATCTTCGTCGTTTTTGCCTCTGCCTTTCTTTTCTCACACCCCCCTCCAAGTCCTCGCTCTCGTCGACTGCTGCCGCCATCCTCGCCCACACTCGCCCCATCCTTGTCCTTCGCCGTCTTTCGCACTTGCAGGGGTGCTCCTGACCATCAGGTACGTGCTACTGCGACTCCCGCCGCCTGGGAACAGCCCCCCAGTCAAGGCCTGGGGGGCTTGGGGCCTGGAGAAAGCGAGCGAGACAGACACACACTCTCTCAGCGAAAGAGAGAGAGACGAGGCACCTGCTGGGGGGCCGCACGCTAGTGTGAGAAACTGCCTGATAGCTTTTTTTTCCCTGCTGCGTGCGGTCGCGGTGCTCGGGACTGCTGCCATTCAAAACCACTCCGTCCCCTCCGGAGCCGCCCACCAGCTTCGCCTTCTCTCTAACCTTTGTGTGCTCCAGACACCAAAGTCGATAACTCGTCGTCCAACACCTCCACCACCCAATCCTCTCCTGACGACTCGAGAAGAACACGCAGGAACGAACAAGAAAGAAGAAACGAAAGATCGAAAGACACAACACGGCATTGCAGGATTGACCCTCGACAGCAATACGCCCCCAACATTGCTGGTCTCCTCTGCCTTCCCCGTTTCGCCCCACGAAAAATCCAGAGAAACCCACGAAGGTCCTCTACCCACCCGATCCGCAGCCGTCTCGCCCTCCATCGGCCCCTTCTACGAGACACCTCGACCGCCTCCCACGCTCGTCATTGCATTCCTCTTGCCTTGACGGCTTCCTCCACGGGACCCTCCTCCCCAGCTACCGACATTCCTCGTCGCCAAACAAGAGTTCTGTGCATCTGTTGCTGGAATATTGCCAGTGCAAAAACTCTTGCTCGCCCACGTCCCTTCCCTCGACTTCTTCTCCATCCATGTAAGTGGTCAACCACGACGCAGAAAAACACCAAAAAAAAAGCAAAAAAAAAAGAACACAAGAAACACCCATCGTCATCACTGCCTTGATTTCCTTTGCACCTCCATCTCAATCGTTTCCTATCTCTGCACTTTTTTTCTCGTAGTCTTACCTCGACGCACCTACTGCCTCAGCGCCTTCTTCTTTTTTTTTTCCCTTGTCCTTGTCTCTTTTCCCTATTCTCAACCACCTACTCCAACTCGACCAGAGCCAATGCACTCGCTCCGATTTCCTTACTCGACTTGATAATTCCATACTCCATGGCCGCGACCGGGCTGACGAGAACCTTCCAATCCTACAGATCCTAATCCTGATACCGCACCTCGTCCTCGGCCGCTCCCTCCTCCGTCCTAATCGCATGAATTGATACCAGTTTGCATTTTTCAACCTCATCCCCCGAGCCGCCACACCCCTACGTGCCGGGTGCACGACATCAACAATCTATATCTCTTCCTCCATCACATAACCGGCATCTACAATGCCTTACACACCGCCCTCCCATCGCTCGCCAGCAAGCTCAGCACCGTCCTCGCCCGACGTGAGCCGCCGCTCGTCATTCCAGTCCAGCCCTAGACCATCACTACCGAGGTCAGCATCGTACCTCACAAAACACAGGAGGACACCATCCGCCGCGACGGGCGCACCGAATGGCACCCCCAACCAGCCCACTCCTCCGGGCACGTCGGACGATCTCAAGGGTATGGCAACGAGCAGCAGCGTGAGACAATCACCGCCGCCACTGACGGATGAGCGAGGTATGCCTAAGGGAGCTATCATCTCCCCGCCGGACTCTGGCAGCGAAGAGGAGGATGGTGCACAGCGCGGGAGACAGATCGAAAACCTCAAGGAGCTTAAGGACGCCATTAGCCAGATTCCAGTCCACCGGGAGGCATCTCCCAGCCCGAAGCCCGAGCAACACCAACAACAACAACCGACATTAGCACTCGTTACCAACGAGGGCATCTCACACAGCTTTAGCACCGGTGCTCTCGACGCTCTCGCCAAGACTGTCGGCCGTCGGGTGGGCCACTCCAGATCGAGCACTGAGCCTAAGATTGTCATGAAGTCTGCCGATGCGTCCCTGACCGGTTCTGAGGAGGAGTCCGACGAGGAGGCACCCAGAAAGCCACAGATGGTGCGGAAGAAGTCAGGCGAGCTTGTCCGCCCCGCTCTTAGGCCGCCCTCCCGCCGCAGACCCTCCAGCATGCCTGGCACTCCGACATTCTCCAAGGCGGTCCACTTCGACTCCCACCTCGAACATGTCCGCCACTTCCTCCAGGTCGACAGACCGCTTGCTGTCAGCGCCGGTTCTTCGCCTGTTGACGCCTACGACAGTGACACCGAGTATCCCTTCCCCGGCGATGAGCAGCGCCCTGCCTCCCGATCTCCGCCATTCGAGTGGGAGATCGTGGCGGCGAACCACCCTGCCGATACTCCTATCAGAAAGTCGCTGCCTGTCCGCCTCGAGAGGGTGTGGCTATCCAGCGACCAGAAGAGCTTGCTGGGTTCCGTCTGCGTGGCCAACCTGGCATTCCAGAAGTCTGTCACTTGCAGATTTACCCTCGACTACTGGAAGACTACCTCAGAAGTCGGCGCCGAGTACTCCCACGAGATCCGCCCTCAAGAGAGCGGTGTCTCTCACGACCGCTTTCAGTTCTCCATCAAGCTGTCCGACCTGGCTAACCTCGAGAGCAAGACACTGTTTTTCTGCATTCGGTACAACGTGAACGGCCAAGAGTTCTGGGACAGCAACAACGGCACCAACTTCCAAGTTGACTTCCGCAAGAAGTACCTGCCCCAGAACGGCAAGCGTGGACTCCAGGGCGCCGCCAGCCGACCTGCGCTTCCCCGCAGCAACCGTCGTGCGAGCCCCTCGTCCAATCCTCGCCCCAAGTCTATGCCCGTCGGCTTCGACGACTTTGGCGAGCAGGGCAAGATCCACTTCGACCAGCCCATCCACGAGTACCTGGGCGAGTCAGGCCCCAATGCTGGCCTTCGCCTCAAGAGTAACAAGTCCACTGGCAGCCTGGCTAGCGATAACCTCTCGAGCCGTCTGTCAGCGCCCAGCGGACAAGCTTTTGCCAACCGCTACGACTTTGGTGCCTCTCTCTCTGCTGCGGTCCAGGCTGCAAAGGACAACGTTGGCAAGGATCGCAATGCCGATGGTCTCTATATGAAGAGCCATCGCAAGATCCAGGTCCCCGCCCAGCAACCCCAACAGCACAGGCCAGTCCCGAACCCGACCGCCACCTCCACCGCCCCTGCTGTCAAGCCCGTCCTGCCGACCGCTTCTGGCCACGACTCCCCCAACGCCATGATCGCTTCGTCCTCGTACGAGGAATTGGTCAACAAATACTGCTTTGTACGTACTCCTGGTCAACAATCACAGATGCACGACCCTTTCATCGACTCTCATCATCACTCTCATCAACGCTCGCCCAATCTCAGCCCGAAAAGCATGTACTGACTTTGGCTCTCAACAGTTCGGCTCCAAGCAGTCCAGCCCTCAGATCACTGACGGCACCCTTAAGAGCGGGAAGTTTGACGGGGCTGACGATGGTTTCGCTACCCGAGGATCCAACAGCACCAGCTCGAGCTCGAATGGCAGCCCCAGCATGGCCCACCACGCTCAGCATGCCGGCCCCGCCCAGCACCACGCATTCCACCTTCGGGATCCCAACCCTTATTTTCAGCAATTGGGACCCTATGGCTCATCTCCGGCCGCCTCCCCACTCAGCCAACCCCATCCAGAACGAACTGCGAACCAGCGTCCGAGTCAGGCTTCCGCCCCAGCGACCATGAGGTCGGCCTCTCCGGTCGCCTCAGTGGGTGGCTTTCCTTTCGCCGGTACGTCGCCGAATGATTATCCGTACGCCCAGCAGCTGCAGGAGCGCTTTCCGTTCAACACCGAGACTCATGCTGCGACAGCAATTAGGGGTTAATAGCAGCCTTGCGCGCACTCTCACATCACCGTCGCACCTTCACGACGGACATGTCATTTGACGTTTCTCGAAATGTTTTTCGATCCAATTTTTTGAGCTCATCTTTCGGTCATCGGCGTTCAGGGCATTTCAACTCTACCGGCCGCGCACGGCCACGGCATCGCGGGGCGTTCAAAGAGTTATCGCAGTCCTCGGCTCTCAAACCGATTTGACTACAATCCAAGCATACGAATAGGGATTTCGGAGTCAAACGGAGAAACAGCCTTGCATTTCAGTCCTTCGTTGCCCATACCTGATGAGCTCAACGCAGCGTCGAGGGAAACGACTATTCTTTCCGGATGGTACATAGGAACGAACGGCATACAAGGAGTTCCTTTAATGCATAATCGCTCGCGCCTTCATTCTCGACCTCCACCAGCGACTGATTTATCGACATTGAATATTTGTGTTTCTATTTTTCCTTGCTGAGATTGCTTTCTTGTTCGCGGCCGAACCAAGAGACCTCCAGCAAACGACGGAGTGGGTCTAGAAGGACATGGGATATGTGTTTTGGTCATGGGATGGAAAGGCCCCGGCGTGGGACAGGGAACGTCCTCGTTGAGCAAGCGCGTGATTCAGCGCCGCCTCCAACGTTCCGGGGCTAGCCTCTGCCGTCCGCTTCAATCGGTTGCGCTGGTCTTTACCGTGCTGCAGCGATGGGGGTGTCGGACAGTCGCTTGGGGACAATGGTTTTGGGATTCATAAAAGTTCAGCAACTGAGTCTTGAGATTGAAGCATCGACTCGTTCGCGTGTTACGAACACGGCACTGGTTCATACACTGGGCGTTGGGAAGAGTTGACGCGGTTACAATTAAATAGCGCCTGGCCTGATTTGGCTTGATTAGTTAGGGTAGCATGGGAAGACAAAAAGAACTGCCATTGCTCGACACTACCACTTTTCAGACTGGTAACGTGATGTGATTCTACCTTCTCCTCAATTGGACGTGAACCAAGTGTGACAGGTCAGATAAAACACGAAGTCCGTTGAAGAATCCCCCCTCTTTCCCCCCACAGATCCCGTAGACAGACAAACACGTCAGCCTTACCGACCCACCCATCCCCGCCCGCTTCACACCCACAAACGATGTGTACCCCAACAACACCTCGAACCCGACGAGATCGTGATGGGCCGGTCAGGTCGAGAACATGCTCAACTGAGACAGTAGAGTCGCATCGTGATCTCGATTGTTAGAGTCTCTAGGTGGTCCATGTGTGCAGGTCTAATGGGAAGGCTAAGGCTAGGTTGGTCGGTTTTGACGTGGGTGGGGCTGATTGGTTGGTTTGGAGTGCCAGAGGGCCGGACTTGTTTGTTAGGTTGAAGGGTTGGGGGAGGGGGAAGATACGGCTAGGCTGGGTTTGCCAACGAGCGATGGCGGCTTGGGTGAGACATGTGAGCTGGCTCTTTATTGAGGTTATTTGGGGTTTGAGGTGTTTGGTTATGAGAGGGGATGGGAGCGCTGGGGATGGGGAAGACCGGCCGGGTCGGGAGTGAAGTGGGGCCGTGGTCTGCGGGATAGAGTGGGGCGGGAAGTTGTTTTTGATGTCTGGCGCCACCTAAGAGACCGACTGCTCTCATAATGTTGTGCAGAATCTTTTACTCCTTTTGCGCATTCAAGATTTTTGAGGCATATTTGTTGCTGTTTGGCTGCTGCTGTTGTCGTCGCCTTTCTCATTACTCTCGACCTCTCAGTCTCTGCCACTGCCTAAGTCGTTGCTACGATACATAATGGCGATCCGGCCACGGTCCCATATCCGTGCCTGCCTCTACTCAGACCATATCGAAGTGATGCCCAACATGTGGGGACAATCCTTTCCATTTTACACTCACTGTGAGATTTGCAAGCGTTAAAAGGATAGACACGAAGTCTGAGGAAGAACCTTGATATAACAAAGCATCTACGACTGATAATAGGCGACGTTAAAGAAGGGCGGAATGCAACGTCAAGTACATGGAGCCGAAGTTACATCGCGGATAAAATAAAATGACTCCAAATCTCATTCAGAACTGAAAGACTCCATACTTCATCAACTCCCATCTGGCAGCGGCAAATAGACTCTGAAAATATTTCCTTCCAGATAAGGTTCCAAGATGAGTCAAACCGATGGACCAATCGATCACACTGGATTGGGTTTGCTGATCTTCAAGCGGCGCAAGCATGGTTTGACGTAGTTAGGGTACATGATGAAGAAGGCAACGGCCAGTGAGCCCACGATGACCACCACAGATATCGGTGCTTGTGACGAAACTTCTTAGTATGCGTAAATGACTTTTTGGGCAAAATTGTCCATTGAAGGGAAAAGCTTACCTGCTATCTTCCAGACTTGCCCTGAGGTTGGATTTTGAGGGTCGCCGGTGAGCTCTGACACGTTTTGGCTGAAGTACGACACAAAGAACGAGAGAGGGAGCTATCGTAGTTAGCAAAACCAATTATGAGGATATTGAACTTCAACAAACAAAAATGGTCGTAATGATTGTAAAGAGCATGACGGCTCTTCCTTGCTGAGTAGCCGCGCGAGCTTCCCTGAGACTCGCCGCCTGTCGCTTGAGGTCTAGCAGTTGGAGTATCTATTCTTATAAGTTATTGAGCAAGTCCTCAATACATATGGTGCTCGTGCCGGTGAAGTAACAGGCTTTAGTGTTGTTGGCATACCTTCTGATGCAATCGCTCCCCATCGGAAAGCAGCGCTTCAACCTGGGCTTTGCCCGACTTCATCTCAGAGTATAAGTGACAGGGTGCTCCGTGTCGAAAGGGATCGAGCGCATCTCGAAGAATCCCATATTGCTGATCGAGCAGACGCTTGACGATGTTCAATTCGTCGATGACCTCTGCAAGTGTGGCTCCCAACTGAAGCTCTTCAGTTCCCTCCCCAGACAGTCCACCCGGCGTTTGATTTATCATCATCGAGTCAAGCAGTGCCTCATGACGAGTAGTCTACAAAAGTGTCCAGTTAGCATACCAAGGCTTGTCGCATATCCTCAGGTTTTGAAATAACCTACAGTGTTTTCTATTGCCCTTCGAAAGACTACCAACATGTCGAGATGTCCACTCGTGTTTAATTGGAAGATGGCAGTAACAGCATAATTGGCTATAAAGTAAGCCAACTCAGGTATATTGTTAAAAAAGGCTGTGTCCGATAGTGATGTGATCGGGGACATCATATCCATGAAAAAGTGCCGTAGTATGCTTTGATTACTAGGCTTAGGTTCGTTATTCGGACAGCAAGTGATGATTGTTGCTGACAATTAGTTTAACAAGACGTTTGCGGTCGTTTTGGGGCGTAGCAAAGGGCACACGTACCCTCATCCACAATCCAGATGCAGAGTTGGTTGATCGTCAGATAAAGACGGGTCTCAACTGTTCGAGGGTCTCCAGCTCCTAGATTCTCCGTCCATCTATTCACCACCTGATTGACACCCGAGGGCAGATTCTCAGACCATGGATCCATGTACAAATACGAAGTCTGCGTTTCTGCGATCAGTCTAGGTTCGTTAATCATGCAAAGCCATCGTGATTCGAAAGAGATAATGGGCAGACATACGAATATCTCCACAATTCCTTTTCTTCCCACTGATTGATGCATACTCCAAGAATGTGCTGGTTCAGCAGTGTCGAGGCCACGTCTCGTGGACCGAAGACGAAGCTGACGATTCCATGATTCACGTACCGATCTTGCGTCATGTTCGCTGGTCAAGGTTTGGATACATGCCTGTAACATCCACGTCAGTAAATATCCAGTAGGATGCCAAATCAACGTGGGCATGACTTGAGCCAGGTCTCTATCATCGGCAGGTATATGGATCCACCCGCGCTTATCGGCCAGCTTCTGCGACGTATCAATGTCCTCTAGATCAAGAAGCACCATTTGCCCAAGCTGCGCATCTTTGACCAGCCTATCGTTGTTCCACTCCGCTGGAGTAAACCCAGTCCAGTAGATATGCCTAGTGATTCTTCAGACGAGGTTCGCTCAGATTGAAGGCTTGTTCCTCACGTTTTCTTCAGCTCGTGAATTTTATTTCGCGTCTCTGAGTCGCAACGGGCTTCATCCTCCTTTTTGAGATTACCCAGTTCAAACGCGTCGCCATCCATGACAACTAAGAGTGAGGGACAATGTTGAGACAAAACGCCAAAGATGCAATATGGGAGGAATGAGAAAGTGGCGCCGTCGAGCGACTTTATAATTGTTGCGTCTCCGGGATTGTGCCCTACAGACCTGCAGGCAGCTTCCCGCTTGAGACTGACGCACTCCTCCGCCCACTGTGTTGATTGGGCTCAACCGGCGTGGGGTGGCATGATGTTTCACACCGTATGCACAACCAGCAGAATGCCATGCATTATTTAGCGAAGCGATTGGATCCATTGGCTTGCGTGATTCCACGACAACTGGTACCAATGCACCCGGCTATCTGGAGACAGGATCGTATATCGACTGCCAATGAACCGCGATAGAATGTTCTGAGCCGCCCTTGGCGACGACATACGAATGCGTTGCACCGGCTGCGCACTACAACAACACTTGCTGGGGCTCATCTGTGCCTCGGGTACCGTACCAGCAAGTCTGAAAATCGTCAAAAATAATGGTCCCTTCCATACTTAGCTACCTAGGAAAGATGTGCTTTGCAGTCAGCATATATTGGAACTTTTGGATCTCTCTAGTCCTCAACGCCTATTAGGTTTCTCTTACTATATCTTTAACTTTAATACTATAGTATAGTGTTACGACCTGTTATGTATAGATAATAGTTAACTGACCTACTTAGGCGTTAGGCGGCTAGGATAGGATATTTATACTATAGAACTAATAGGAATAATAGGGATTTACTTAGAATAGAAGAACTATAGTATAAGTTATATAATAATAAAATAAGAGAATAATTAATAGAGTATAAGAAGAAATACTTAGTAATTAGTTAGTATTACTAACTAATTATAATTACTTATATACTTAAGTAATTATTTAAAAGTAGATAAAGGATATTATTTAGAACTTATATATAGTATAACTTAAGTTTTATTTAAGGTTAGATTTCTATAGCTTTTTAGTAATTAACTTAGTATTTATCCTTATAGATATTTTTAGTTTATTTTTACTATAAACTACTTATTAAGTTTAAGACTAATTACTTTAGTCTCTAAAGACCTAATCTACTATTAGTTTATAACTTATAACTTAGACTATAACTTTAGTATACTATTATAATATATTAATCTTTAACTTCTATTAGTAAACCTTACTATTAGATAACTAACTATAATACTTTAATTACTCCTATTTAATAAGTTAATTATTAATACCTACTAATAGTAAAATAATAAATATATCTTCTTATACTTTAGTTAAATTCCCTATCTTAGGATCTTTATCTTCTTTATATAACTAGCTTTAGAGTTTAGTATAGGAACTTATTAGTATTAAAGATTATAATATATTAGACCTTAAATATAACTTTAATAGAGAAGGTTTCTTTACTAAAGAAGGTTATAAAAAACTCTAATATATTATTTAGAAATAAGAAGCTAAATTTAAGGAAATATAGATATTTATAAATAAAAGTAAGTAAGTTATTAAAAACCTTAATAGATAACTTTAGAATACTATAGTAGCTTTTAAAAAGCTAGAAAAAAATATTAGAGGAGATACTAACTTTAAAAGGGTTTAAGAACTCTAAGAAGAACTTAATATTCTCTAAGCTACTACTAATATTATTACTACTTTAATTAGAGGATAATAGAAACTTAAACTTAGTACTCTAATTATCTATAATAATACCTCTAGATAACTTAAGTTATTCTTAATCTAAGTTAAGAACTACTAGAACTTCTACTATAGAGATTTTACTAGTTAGATTAAGAAAGTTATTTATATTACTACTTATTTATAAAAATAAACTTTTAAGTAATTTAAACTTATTTAAGAAGAATTTCTTAAGTATAAAACCTTAGATAAATATTTTACTAAGACTTATAATATCTATAGTAACTTTAAAAAGTTTAAAAATACTTTCTATTCTCTCTTTTAAAACCTTAATAAGAAATAGTAAACTAAGAGAGACCTTATATAGCTATAATAAATAAAATTAACTAAAGAATATATTATTATATTTAAATAACTTAGTATTTAACTTAACCTTACTAAAGAAACTAAGATCTTTATATTCTATTAAGGACTTAAAAATAAAATTAAAAATAAGATTATTAAGATTAATTATCCTAAAGACTTTTTTTAGTATATTAACTTTATTATTAAGATTAATAATTAACTTTTTAAGTATTATAAAGAAAAAAGTAAAAAATAATAAGGATTAAACTTTAGATATAAATATTAATAGTAACTTTATTAGAAGTTTAACCTCTAGTAGAATAATAATAAACCTTATAATAACTAGAATAATACTTATTAGAGTATTACCTATAGATAGTATAGTAAACTTATAGATCTTAGTATAATAACTAAACCTAATAATAAAAAACTATAGAACCTTAAGTATTATAACTATAATAAATAGGGATATATTACTAGAGATTATAAGTAGCTTAAGAAACTTCCCTAGAAACTAATAGCTAAATAGCTTTAATAAGTTAATATTATTACTAAAATCCTATATATATTTTAGTTTTAGACTAGATATTATAATAATAACTATTAAATCTATTTTAAAAATAAGGAAATATTAGGATACTACTTAAGGGATAGTAACCTTAGATAGTTTAGGTATAATATAATTATACTAGATATATATCTAAGAACTTTAGTAATAATATATACTAATAATAGTAAGATTTATAGAAAAACCTAAAAATAACTTAATAAAATATTATAAATATAGTAACTTAAACTAATTCTTAGTTTTATTTTAAGAATAACTAATAACTAAAGTTAAATTAGTTATAAACTTCTAAATTAAACTACCTATATAATATTAGAAAAATAGATAAAAGAAAAATCTAATAATAAGTTAGATTATTAGTATAACCCTTTAGAAGAATAGTAACTATTTAATTTTATAAATAACTAGACTTTTAGAGAAGGAGAAGGTTCTTTTTATAACTTAGATAAACCTTATAATATTATATATTAATATATTTAAATAGAGATTACTTATAAGCTTACCTTTAGTATAGATAATATTAGTTCTAAAGAGGAATCTAAGAAAGATAATATACTTAAGCGAATTATATATAAGTAAATTAACCTATATAATAATAAATAGTTTATTAAACTTTATAGTATACCTAATATAGGGCTAAGAATATATTATACTTTATAACTTAAAACTAAAGATTACTCCTATTTTAAAGTTACTAATTTTAATTATTAATACCTCTTTTAGGTATAGTATTTCTTTAACTATTATAAAATTTATATAGGAGATAAGTATAACTACTATTTCTAACTTAAGTAATATAATAATAGTCCTCTATAAAATATTTATATTATATATACCCTTATTAAATAGGAACTTAGAAAGTTTAATAGTAATATTACTATATTCACCTTTAGCTAATAATTCCTTATAGAATACCTCTATAATAAATAGATAAAATAGGATAAATACTAATATAATAAATATTAAATCTATTATAAAGAAAAAGTATATACTTAGAGAATTATAAAGAATAAACCTTAACTCCTTTAGGTTAGATATTATAAAAATAGCTTTATAAAAGTATAATAGGAAGGAAAGTAAATCACCTACTTAAGATACTTAGAGTAGTTAAAAAACTAAACTTACTTATTAAAAAAGGATTATAATAGGTATATAATAAAAGATCTATTTACTAAATATTATAAGGATATAAGGGGAACTTTAAAATTAAAGTAACTATTAATTAATAAACTATACTTATTCTAATAAATAGTAGAGTAGAGGTAAACTTTATTACCCCTTAAGTTATTAATAAATTAAAAGTACTATAAAGAGGAAAAAAATAAC